AGGCCCTTCCGGGTTTGCAGCTGGCCTGTCCCCGCCGCTTGCATTCCCCAGCACAAGTTGCTAATCTTCAGCTCTTAGCACAGACCGAGACTGAGTTCTGTGCCCCACGGGAGCAGGGAAGGCAAAATTAAAGGCAGTGGGAGGGGTGTGGGGGAGCGGGAGGGGTGGGTGTTAAGAGGATCCAAGAGCCTGCTGGTGCAGGAGACAGTCCCAAATCAATTCACCGTTTCTGCTCTTCGGGGTCCAGGGGAATGGCCCCGTGAAATATGGATGGAGGTAGGAGAGGTGGGGCCGGAGCTTCTGAGACTCGCCCCCGGCTTTCCGCACAGCTGGCAGCTCCTCGGAAAGGGGACTCCCATGGTTTCCGAGTCTGAGAGCCGAGCGTGAAGAGTTGACAGGCCCCTACTTTGAGTGCCCCCGCGCGCGCGCAGCCTTTGGGTACCTGGCTAGTTCCAGGCAGCTGCTCAGCTGTTGCCATGGTGACCAGTGAGGTTTCTGCTGGGTCGCTGCCATTCCAGTTTGAGGGTGAGGAAGCGGGAGCTCCTGCACCACTGTTTGGGGGGCGGGGGAGGAGGACGTCAGAGCCTGGCGTCTGAGCAGGTCGGTGGCAGAAGAGGTGTGGCCCCGCCTGGAGGTGACGGGTGGAAGCCTCGCAGCCAGCAGAGGCCGAGTAGGGGCTGCACGGGTGGGGGTGGGGGTGCGGGAATCCAGCCAGCTTCTCACAGCCCCGCCCCTGCTGCCGCCCACGCCTGTCATGTGCGTTTACCGGACAGGGTGCCGGGGATGCAGTGACCTCCTTGGCTGCCCCACAGGCATCTCAAACTCGACCTGTCCCAAACGGAGTGCTTGCTCTACATCCCACCCACTCCTGGGTCAGACTAAAAACCTGGAGTGACTCTCGACTTCTGGAGTCATTCTTTTTAAAAATATGTTTTTATTGATTCTTTTTTAGAGAGAGAGGAAAGGAGAGGGAGAGAGAGAAACATCCATGTGAGAACATGGATCAGCTGCCTCAGGCCTGCTGCCTATGGGGGATCGAGCTTGCAAGCTGGGCATGTAGCCTGACGCGGATCCAACTGACAACCTTACAGCGCACAGGATGACGCCCAACCAACTGAGCCACCGGTGTTTGTTTTTCCTTGTTAATCCTCACCTGAGGCTATTTTTTTAAAAAAGTACTTGTGTTGATTTCAGAGAGGAAGGGAGAAAGCGAGAGAGAGAGAGAGAGAGAGAGAGAAACATCAATGATGAGAATCATTGATCGGCTGCCTCCTGCACACACCTCACTGGGATCTGAGCCCACAACCTGGGCACGTGCCCTGATCGGGAACTTGAACCATGACCTCCTGGTTCATAGGTCAGTGCTCAACCTCTGAGCCACACCGGCCAGGCTCACCTGAGGATATTTTTCCTTGCTTTTCAGAGAGAGTGGGAGAGAGGGAGAGAGAGAGAAACATTGATGTGAGAGAGACACATTAATTGGTTGCCTCCCTGCCTGCACCCCCATAAGGGGCAGGGAATGAATCCACAACCCAGATGCATGCCTTTGACCAGGAATTGAACCTGAGACCTTTTGTTGCACAGGGTGATGCTCCAACCACTGAGCATGCTGGCCAAGGCTGCTTTTTGTTTTTGTTAACCTCACCTGAGGATTTGTTTTCATTGGTTTCAGAGAGGAAGGAAGGGAGAGAGAGGGAGAGAGAGAGAGAGAGAGAGAGAGAGAGAGAGAGAGAGAGAGAAACATTGATGTGAGAAACATGGATCGGTTGCCTTGAGTACGTGCCCCACCTGGGGATTGAGCCCAAAACCTAGGTATGTGCCCTAGGAAATTGAACCCGCAATCTTTTGGTGCATGGGATGATGCTCCAACCAACTAAGCTACCTGGCCAGGGTGTAATTCTTTTATTTTTACTTATTTTGTGCCCATCTCTCTCAGTAGACTGTAACCCACAGGATGTGTTTGTCTTGCGTTCATTATATCCCCAGTGCCAGCATGGTGCCAGGCACACAGCAGGCACACCTGTGACATGAATGAGTCATTATTTAGCTGCTGACTAAATGAAGGGCACAGGTGCCTCCTTCCCAACCCCCAGCTAGCTGGGCTGCAGATGAACATGTGTGCTAAGACCTGCACTCAGGCTGGTGTGGAGCAGCTCCGAGGGGAGCCAGAGCTTCCCCTGAAACCCACAGAGGTCATTGTCTTTTTGACTCATTTGTTCACATCTGGGACTTAGTCCTCACCGTCTGGGGCCTGCGTGCTCAAGATGATACTGTTGGATGGGGCTCCCCGTGCAGTCATGTAAGGAGCAGAGGGAGCCATTCATTGACTAATTCAACACCCATTTACTGCTACTCTGTGTTCCATGTGCTGGAATTACAAAGATGAATTTGACGGGCCCTTGTGGTTTAGGAGCTGAAGGAAGAGGTATGGGGCGGGGGTGGGGGGCAGGGCAGAGGGAGGGGGTGCAGATATGCAAATTGGAATGGTAACACAGTGCAGTATAAATACTGTTCTAGAAATGTGTACACAGTGTTAAAGGAACCCAGAAGGGACAAAGGTTCAATCTTATCAGGGGCATCAGGAAAGCTTTCATAGAAGAGGTGGTGTAGTTTGGGCTTTGAAGGATGTATAGGAGTTCACCAGGTATAGACAGAGAGGACAGAAATTCTAGACAGAAAAGAAACCTAAAGGCACAGAGAACTGAGAGCCCATGTGGGGTTTGGTAAATCTGAGTTGGAGCACGGAAGAGGATGGGGGTGAGCTTTTACTGTCATGGGTGGGTCTTGATTCCAGATTCGGGAGTTTGGATAGGTCCTGAAGGCAGTGGGGCCATGGCTGGAGGCTTTGGAAAGGTCACTCTGGGATCTTGAGGGAGAGGCGTGGTGTGTGTGTGTGTGTGGGTGTGTGTGTGTGTGTGTGTGTGTGTGTGTGTATGCTGGGACCTGCTTATACCTACTCCGCTCCTATCTTGCATCATGTGACTGATATCCTTGGGCATCGTTTGTCCCCGTCCAGGTGAGCGAGGACTGGAAGTACGTCGCCATGGTGATCGACCGCCTGTTCCTTTGGATCTTTGTCTTCGTCTGTGTCTTTGGCACCATCGGGATGTTCCTGCAGCCTCTCTTCCAGAACTACACCACCGCCACCTTCCTCCACGCAGACCACTCGGCTCCCAGCTCCAAGTGAGCCTCCCTCACCCCGCTCCACGGCCCTGCACCCCTCTGCCCTCTGTTGTACAATCGTTTTGGGTGGAAGAGGATGAGCTACCAAGAAGAGGGGCGCTGCCCACAAAGATCTATCCTTCCACGTCACCTGGAGCCCCTCCCCCCACCCACAGCCAGCTCCACCTGGCAGCTGGGCCAGCCGCTCTCCTCCTCCTGCACCAATAGTGTTGCTGGTTGAGGATGAGGCTGAGAAAAGGAGGGTGGAGATATCGGCGACTTCCAGCCTGACGAAAGTGTGAAGGGGAAGGGGCCGAGAAGGGGCCAGAATCTTCCACTGCCTTCCAGTCACGGGAAAGGGTGAGAGGGACAGGGGCTCCAGCTCTGCTGGGCCAGCCCAACACAATGGCAGCTCAGAAGGGAGGAGCGAAAGGAGAGAGGCCTGGGTGTGACCGGATGCTTGCCTCAGCCCCAGTGAACGGCAGCTGGGCGGGGTGGGCCTCACAAGGGACACAGGTTCCTGCCCAGAGGGTTCGTCTGCTGCTGTGGTCAGACGCCTGGAGGGAGCTTCCAGCCCAGTCCCACCGCCCCAGCTCCCCTTGTCCCGGTGAGGAATTCTCCCCCTCCCCTGGACTTTCCTTCCTTTCTTGCTCGGCCAGGGTGTGAAGGGCAAGGCTGGGAGCCTCTGAGTTTTGAGTCTTTGGTGACCTGCTTGGAGCCTGAGGTCCGAGGACACACACTTTGGGGGAAGGGCAAGTTCACAGGCTGTTTTTTACCCCCAGTTGAACTGACTGGCTGTTGGAAGTAAATGAAGGATGTTAGCCGTAAGCAGAGCCAGCCTTTTCATTTTTTTAAATATGTTTTTTTATTGATTTTAGAGAGAAGGGAGAGGGACAGAGAGATAGAAACATCGATGAGAGAGAAACTTCCATCGGCTGCCTCCTGCATACCCTACACTGGGGATCCATCCTGCACCCTGGGCATGTGCCCTGACTGGGAATCGAACCATGACCACGTGGTTCATAGGTCAACTCTCAACCACTGGGCCGCACTGGCCGGGTCAGACCCAGCCTTTTTGCCTGGCTGCCAGGAGAGCGCCGGCTGTGGAGGCCAGTGGGCAGGGCGGGAGTGGCCACATCAGCCCTGCTCCTGCTCCGCCCTCCTCCTCAGGGCTGTTCTTCCTGCTCTTGCCCCTGCTCTCACCCCGCCCACCCAGACCTGAGCAGGATTGCGGTGGGACAGGACTGCTGCTGCCCCCAGCCCTGCCACTGAATGTCCTGAGCAATCTCTGCCCTGTTGGGTCTCTGCTCCCTCATCTATGAAATGGGGACAGTGAGGATGAGTGATGCTCGTGGGCACAGAGTGGGTGATTTATTACTGTGGAGTCAGAGCTGGTGGGAATGGGGTCGCCTGTCATGTCAGTCTCCCCCTAGACCAGGGGTGGGCAAACTTTTTGACTCGAGGGCCACAGTGGGTTCTTAAACTGGACCGGAGGGCCGGAACAAAAGCATGGATGGAGTGTTTGTGTGAACTAATATAAATTCAAAGTAAACATCATTACTGCTTACCCTCTCTTTTTCTTTTTAGTTTTTATGTACTTTTAATTTTATTTTTAAAAAATCTTTATTGTTGAGAGTATTACAGGTGTCCCCCTGTCCCCCACCCCACTGCTCCCTTCTGCCCGGGTCCTGCCCCACCCCAGGCCTTCACCACCCTATTGTCTGTGTCCATAGGTAAGATCTTCGGTTCCTCTCTTCCTGCCCCCACCCCAGTCCCCCCTGAGATTCGTCGGTCTGTTCCGTGCTTCCATGACTCAGAGTCTGTTTTATTCGCCAGTTTATTTTGTTCATTAGATTTCTTGTTCGTTTATCTTGATTTTTAGATTCGATTGTTGATAGATATGTATTTGTTGCCATTTTATTGTTCGTGTTTTTTATCTTTTCTTCTTCTTAAATAATACCCTCCAACATCCTACATAAGAAAAGGCTGATATACAAATTGTCCCCCTGACCGGGAGTTCGACCAGGGGGGTGCCGGCCGGCCAACCGCCCGCAGCCCCTCCTCTCTACTGTCCTGTTCCCCACCCCCACCCCCATCGGGGGACCCCACCTGTGCACGAATTATAACCTTATAACCATGGTTTTGAACTCTATCCAGTAGTTTGCTTGCTTCCATTTCTTTCATTTGTGATATGTTTGTCTCTGCATTTTGGCTGATAGGTGTCTTGGAGGGCCCAGTGGCTCAGCCTCCCCAGTCACCCGAGTGGGCACTCTAGGTGCACCCCCTGTGTGGGCTGTGTGCATGGTCTTGTAGTTGAGCCTTGATTGCTGTTGGCGTCTCTGGGAGGAGTTGACCTCCAGGCCAATTGGCTGTGAGGACCAGCTGTGACTACAGTGGGAAAGCTGCTGTACTAGAGCCGGTTAGTGGGCCTTTTATTGATAGGTTTGGGGCAGCTGTCACCAGCTGCAGCTTGTCTGAAGCCTGAGGCAGGACAGGCTGTTCATATGGAAAAGCTGCTGCAAACAGCTTGGGGTGGGCCTGCCAATTGGATGGGGCGGGGTCTCAAGGAATCATTAGGGCGGATCAAACAGCGTGCTCCAGGCTGATGGAGACTCAGAAATGCCTGCCAGTCAGCCCTGCAACAGGGCGGTCCCAGCACAGGAACAAGGACCCTTGCGAGCACCCCTCCCTGGGAGAAAGCCGCCCCAAGTTCCTGCCCTGATGCCAGACAACCCAGTTCCTCCCGTATGTGTCTGGGTCTCCAGCGCTGGAGCTCGGAAGAAGTGGACCGAGTAAGTTTGTGCGCCGGCCCCTCACACCTGGGATTGATTCCAGCAGACTCAGTGTCACTCAGCCCCAACCCCGATGGTTTTTACAGCCTGTAGTTGCGTGGACTTCTCCCCCCAGCTCGGGAGCCCTGGGCTGGGGTTTGGTGTGGGGCTGGGACCCCTTGCTCCTCACGGGCCACCTTGGCAGAGACAGTCTCCCTCCGGATTAAAAACCCAGCACACACGGTGTGAGACCGGCCGCTCCTCACCCCACCCCTCCGACCAACCTCAGTGTGCTTTCTTCGTTACTGTTCTGGTTGTGATGAAAAGCAGGCCTTCTGTTCAGCCAACTTTCGTGGCGGCTCCGTGTTGTAGTTGTGATTTTGGTGTGGCTGTGGGAGGCGGCGAGTGCAGGCGTATCGGTAGGCTCGGGGCGCGCTGTCACCAGCTGCAGCTTGTTTGAGGATTTCAGCGAAGCCTGAAGCCCGAGCCGGGACATCTGGGTTCTCCTCTACCCGTCTCTTTCTCGAACAAACCACGTCCCCCCAAACAGGGCCTGTGTCTGGGGGAACGGAGAGCTGGAGGGAATGCGCTGTGAGTCTAGCGGGTGGGTCTCTCCCTCTGGAGCAGCTTCAGAACTGGCCGTGGCCCTGACCTCCCTCTGGGTCAGCGCCTCCTGATGCAGGGTGTGCTCAGGGCTCCCCGCTGCCCGAGGCCTTACTGGTGGTGGGTGCGAGGGGTCCCCAGTGCTCCCACCCGCTGCCAGAACAGGCTTCTGGACATCTCTGCTCAGGGGTAGTGTCCTGGCTCCATGGACACGCACTTCTTCTAGAACGGCACATGGAGAGTTGCCAGTATTATGCCCGGCCTCACCTCAAACTCATAGCCCTAGGGAAGCATCTGGGACCTGAAACAGCAACTGGAAAAAAACTCCATCTGAAGGGTTGGTGTCTCCTTCTGAAGCAGCGGTTCTCAACCTGTGGGTCGAGACCCCTTTGGCGGTCGAACGACCCTTTCACAGTGGTCGCCTAAGACCATCCTGCATATCAGATATTGACATGACGATTCATAACGGTAGCAACATGACAGTTACGAAAATAATTTTATGGTTGGGTCACAACATGAGGAACTGTACTTAAAGGCCAGAAGGTTGAGAACCACTGCTCTGACAGGAAGGGTGCTGGCCTAGGGCCCGCCCTGCTGGCTCTCCCAGGCTCCTGGCCCCTGGGCGGCTGCCGTTGGCTGTACTCGCTTCAGTCCTTCCCCCAGTGGCTGTTGTCCAGGTAACCAGCGGACGGTGCCCGAGGGGCTGAGAGAGCAGCCCCTCCGAATCCGCTCCAGGGCCATAGGAAACCGAGGCCTGGAAAGTCTTTGCTGCCCGACCTTGTACAAGCACCTGACTCCGCATTTGCTCAGCCTCATCTGTAACACGGGGGTGAGAGTGGGCTGGGGGCTGCAGCAGGGCAGAGAGGGATCGACAAACACGAAGGGGCTAACCAGGCCGGGTCCCTGGGCAGTGCCATTCCCTCCATCTCTGGCTTCAGGCCTCTGGGACCATCCCAGTGGGGAGGGGAGGGGAGGGCAGGGCAGGGCAGGGCAGGGCACCGGAGGAGAGAGGAGGAAGCCACTGCTGGGCCAGGTGTCACGTATCAGCATCAGCGCAGGGTCTGAACCCTCGGGGCACGGGAAGCTTTGGAGAACCAGGTTCGTCCACCCTCAGGCCCTCTGTCCTCATCCCTTGGTATTGTCTGGGCAGCACCTTGCCCCTTCCTGGGTGGGGCTGTTTCTAGAGAGAATCAGGGCAAGGACCGGAGGCCCCAGGCCTGAAGAGGGAGGGAGAGACTCCGACTGCAACCTGAGTGAGGTGGCCTGGGAGGCGGGCAGTGAGGGGATGAGTTGGGATGGTCTCCATCAGAAAAGGCGAGGCCACAGGCGGCCTGGTAGCCATTTTTGTCTGAAAGGAGCCTGTACGGACTCTGCTTTTGACAGTTGGCACTGCAGCAGGGGGAGGGCAGCTCCCTGGCCGCGGGGGAGCTAATACCGGAACAGCTGGTACCCAGTTACTGAAAATGTAAAAGCAAACAAGACACGGGCAGCCCCCAGCTGGCATTTGCTGCAGAGCAAGGCTGTCTGCGGAGGAACGGCTGTGTCCCTCCGAGGAACTGGGGGTGCCCTAGGGGCTTTGGGAGCCTTGACCCCGTTCGGTCTCCTCCCAATTGCAGTATTAACTACTGTCTACCACGGGCCTGCTCTGTGCCTAGTGCTTCCGTTGCACCGTCTTTATTCCTCACGACAACCCTGCAGGGAAGGGGCGTGTGGACAGAAAACAGGGCTCAGAGACCAAGCGACAGCCGCGGAGCCGGGCTGGGCCCGAAACCTGACTCGCGGCCCCTGAGCCCGCGCTCCCCCGCGACCGAGACGGGTAGAAGGGAAGTGAGGGGCTCCCAGGGTCTTTTCTGAATTCACTCCGAGCCAGGGTGGCCCAGGCCGTTGTCACCCTCTGCTTCTAGGCCGTTGGGCTGGTGTCACAGCCTCCCACTCACCCACCCAGACTAGACAGAGGACAAGCAGTCACCCGTTTGTTTTTAAATAATGTAAATACAGATTATTTGTCCCCGCACCAAGAAGAAAAGCAGCCTTCTGACAAGTGGAGGCATTAAGATTCTGAAGCAGCTGACGGCCTTCAGAGGGCGGGTCTGTGGACCTAACACTCGAGCTTTTCCCTCGGGGCTCCTCCTCCTGCGTTTCTAACTCCTCACGGTGGCCCAGCCGGTGTTGCGGGCAGTTTGTGTGACTCCTGTTCCTCCAGCACTTTCCCACGAGGCATCGGACATGGTGTCCCTGTTGGCAGGAGCCGCGGCCTTCAGGCCCAGCAGGAGCTCGGTTCCTTGGTTCTCCAGCTCCAGGGCAGACGCTAGAGCCTGCGTGCCGGTTCCCCAGTTGTCTCAGGCCTCGCTCGCCGGAGGGCAGGTTTTCCTCTCGCGCCCTCTGGGAGATCGTGGGGATCGCTTTCCATGTTCCCTCTTCACCTCAGCTTGGTTTTCAGTGCGTGTGGCGGCACGGGGTCCTTCTGGGCCGCCCAGGCAGTAACAGGCCATGGTAGACGGGCATCGCCGACGTGCAGCTCC